GTGTGCTTTACACTTACAGCGTGTCTCAGTTCGAACCAACCACATGTGACTAGTGGTTTTCTTATTGAACATTGCAGTTCTAGAGTCCTCCCATTTCAGAGCTTCTCTGGGGTTGCGTCTTTCCTTGGGGTATTATACAGGAAAAGTAGAAATTGTTCCTCCCAAGTACCTCATCTTAATTTTGCTACTACTTTTTGTTTTCATAAAATATTGTCTGTGTAAAACAGATGGTGGTATCTTTATGCAGGTTCACAGGACAGCTAATATACCAGCATTTTAGAGATTTGTTATTGCTGTATTGGCCATTTTTCACTGGACTATTACTTGTTCTAAAACTTTTTATTGGAGTGTATCACACATACAGAACATGCGTATAGGAAAGGACATAAGTCAAAAGTAATTTTTGCAAAGTGAACATAGTTGTGTATATTCAAGAAGTAGAACATTACCAACACCCCAAAGCCCCTGCCTTGTACTGGCTCCCAGTCACTACCTGAGCAGAGGAACTCAAATTGTGAAACCATGGATTCATTTTGCCAGTTTTGAACTTTGTATAAAGGAAATCATACAGTATATACTTTTTTTTTTTGTATATTTGGCTTATGTCACTTAAAACTATGTTTGCTCTTCACTTATCCTGTGATTATTAGCTAAGGTTCTTTCATTCTTGTTGCTGTGTAGCATTATATTGTGTGAATATGCCACGATTTCTTTATTCATTTTATTTTTGATAGACATTTATAAAATTAATCATATGGTTTTCAGTTTTTTTGCTATTATGATTGGTACCATTATGAACATTTTGAACATTTTGAACATGGCTGTGTTTGCATTTCTGTTTGTACATACCTATAAGTGGAATTGCTGCACCATAGTATATGCATATGTTTAGTTTAAGTAAATAATTGCCAAACAATTTTCCAAAGTGGTTGTACCAATTTGTATTCCCACCAGCAGTGTGTGAGCATTTTAGTTGTTCCATGTCCACACCAACATTTGTTATATTTCTGTCTTTTTCGTTTTAGTCATACTGACATTCACCTATCCTAATGTTGTCATGTTATCAGAAGGGACCAGTTCCTAGAAAAGGACATTGTGCTTGATAGAGTAGAGGTTAAGTGAAAAGAAGAAGACCATCAACAAGATGAATTGCCACAGTGACTACAACAATAAGTTCAAACATAACAATGATTGTGAGGATGGCTCAGGACTGGGCAACATTTCATTTTGTTATATGAAAGGTTGCTGTGAATCAGACTGACTTAACAGCACCCAACAAGAACAATTGTAGTCTTAAGGATGAATATATGGTAAATGAGTGTTATGTCATTGTAGTTTTAATCTATCCTTCTCTGATGAATAATGAAATTTAGCACTTGCCTTGTTGGTCTTTGGATAGCTTCTTATGTGAAGTTCTTATTAAAATTTTTGCCCATTTTTGAATTGTACTATCTGACTTTTTTTCATTGATTTTAGGAGGTGTTTATATAATTCTAGATACAATTTCTTTGTTACATATATGTATCTATTCCATAGCTTGTGTTTTTCTTCTCTGATTAGTGTCTTTTGATTAATTTCTTAATTGGAATGTAGTCCAGTTTAACAAAAAGTTTTCACATGTTTAGTGTTTCTTTGTGTCCTACTTGAAAAATCTTTGATTCTAAGTATACTGTAAGATTATAAAAATATTATCTTGTTTTCTTCTAGAAACATTGTTATTTAACCTTTCACATTTAGCTTATTAACCCATCTGAAATTATTTTTGTGTATGGTGTGAGGTAGGTGGTCAAGAGTCATGATTTTCCATATGGATATCTAATTAACATATATTGAGGTGTCATACCCAACGTGAATCTGTGACTTTATTGTATTGGTCTGTTCTGTTTCATTTTGTTTAATTCCCAAACCAACTCTTTTTAATCAATCAAAGTAGTGTAAGTGTGAGGATCTCCTAAAGTGAGAGAATTCTAGAAGTTAGGTGCTGTCTTAGTTAGAGTTCTCTAGGGAACAGAACCAGTGATATATACATAGGTAGATATTCATTTCTAATTGTTTCCATTATTCCATGTTGTTTGTAAAACCTTACTGTCCTGAGAAACAAGTCTACAAATACAGGTATAATCGTCTCTCTTGCTTATAACCCTTTAATAACTTCTCTTTGTACTCATTATATAACCCAGACAAGGCTTACCTTTCCACACTCATCACACCTCAACCATATGAGCCTTTCAGTTTCTTTAAAGAGACACATGCTCCCTACTTCTGTCTTGAATGTGCTTCTTACCTCTTTTATCCTTCCTTTACCTGGTTATTCTTTAATTCTTAGGGCAAGTATTTCTTAAAGAAGCCCTCTTTGACTTCCAGAGTAGATTTGGTCTTCTCTGTTTTATGCTCTCATAATGTTATGTAATTCATTTTCAGAGAAGCTGTGAAGCTGTTCTAGTTTATAAGCATATGTTTGCACTATTATTTTTTCAGTTTGTTTCTCCGATTAGAACACAAGCTCCAAGGGGGCAAGGATCGCATCTGTTTTGCTCATGACTATCTGCTACTCCTTGTGTTTAGCCTATTTCCTGGCATATGATAGGAGCTAAAAAATACTGTTTGGTTATAATTTTATATTTTATGTCTGTGATATTTATGTAGTTTGTAGAGAACATGTCATTGACATTTATACAGTCCATAGAGAAAAATTAGAAAAACAACTAAATCCCACAAACTACTGTTGCTCTCTCTGGTGTCCTAGGGAGTCTAAGAGATTCTAGGGTAGGAATGCTTTTCCTAGCTCTCTGGATTGGAATGTACCCTCACCTAGATTTTCACATTCTTTGAGTGTTTTTCCTTTTCCTTTTTCTCGAGTGATATTTTTATGCTTACATTGAAAGCCCTACAGTCAGAAGATAGATCATGTTTACTATAAATGGCATAAAACTGCCCAAGCAATGAGTGTGTTATATAGATACAATCAATAAGCAAATAAGCTATGTGGTATTAGCCATGGATTTGTGTAACTTTCTGGAAATGGTATTGAATTACCAAAACACAGAGTGGGATTTATTTATTTATTTTGATATTCCATATCAGCAAAAACAGCATATATTAGAAGCTTGGAAAATTCTTAGTTACAATTTTATTCCCCTCACTATTTGTCTTCTTCCTCTTCTTCTTTTTTTTTTTTTTTTTTTTAATGTGTTCTTTTATTGCTATCAATTGGCCTCTGATCACTGCTTTTGCTATGTCCCAAAGATTTTTTATGTGTTCTGGGGGAACTTTAGTCTTTCTGTTCCCCTTTTCAGAGAGAATAACACATTTGATCACCTTCTTGTCTCTGTGTCTCATTGTGGTCTATCACTACTGTTCTTAATTAAAAATGAAAATTCTCTAATAGAGATATCACCTATACTGATAATCTTATTGATGAAATTCATAGGATCATAGATATTATCTCTAAGCTGCTGTTAGTTGATTATTTCCCATTTTTATTCTAGAAGAGAGCCACTGATTCTCATCAGTAAGAAAGTAAAATTAAAAGGAACATTAATAAGGATTATGTTTGCAGAGCCTGTTTATTAATTCCACAAATGTTTATTAAGTATCTATTTTTGTGCCAGGAGCCTGGTAGCACAGTGCCTAAGGCACTTGACTGCTAACCAGAATGCTGGCGGTTCAAACCCACCAGCCACTCCTTGGAAGGAAGGTTGGGCAATTTACTTCCGTAGTGATACCGCCTTGGAAACCCAAGGAGGGGTTGCTATGAGTCGGGTCCAACTCCATGGCACATAACAACAACAACAATATTTTTGTGCCAGAAGTTGGAGAAACTCAGAGAAAGACGAGCATTTTTTTATTTCAAATGATAACATTCTGATAAGAATTGACTTTATTAGCTGTGTTAGTTTTCTCAGGTGTAGAATGAGAATGATAAAATACAGAATGAGAATGATAAAATACCCATCTCGTAAAGTTATTTTGAGGAGTAAATAAGATAGTACATGTAAAACACTTACCCTAGTGCCTAGCATATAATTAATTTTTATTGCTATGAAACTTTGTCCACAGTTAGCCTCTTATTTATTTTATTCTGTTTCTCCCCAGTTATTCTTCTCCACATTGGCATCAGAACTAAATTTCTGAAATACTTGTCTGATTTTGTATCCTCTTCTGTACTATCTTCCGAATATGGAAAAGACTTTAGTGATTTTCTGTTGCTTGAAGAAGAAAAGTTTCAAATGCATGGATGGCATTTAGCCCCTCACCACTGACTTTTGCCTTGACCACCCACTTGTTTGCAACCCAAATAGGCCTCACACAGTTATACTTACTCACCTTGACTTGTGTCCTTGACTTGTATCCTCCTTCTGCCTAGAATTTCCACTGTAGGCCTTATCCCCTCTTCCCACCCCCAACCTGAAAAACAGTTCTCAATGGACAACTCAAATGCCATCTCCAGAAAGTACCATCTCCAGAAAGTTACACAAATCCATGGCCAATATCACATAGCTTATTTGCTTATTGATTGTATCTATATAACACACTCATTGCTTGGGTAGTTTTATGCCATTTGGGAGCTCTGGTAGCATAGTGGCTAAGGCACTTGACTGCTAACCAGAAGGCTAGCGGTTCAAACCCACCAGCCACTCCTCAGAAGGAAGATGGGGCAATCTACTTCCGTAGTGATACTGCCTCGGAAACCCAAGGAGGGGTTGCTATGAGTCGGGTCCAACTTGACGGCACATAACAACAAACAGCAACAACATGGACAACTCAAAGATTCTTCTTACTCTTTCCAGGCAGAATTTTTTGATCCCTGTTTATTCATCTCCCTTTAGCATCTATCACATATTATTAGTTAATGACATAAGTCTTGTTCACCCATTAGCTTGTGAGTTCCTTGAGAGCAGGGACCATGTCTTACCTAAACTTAGTAAGCACTCAGTAAAAACTTGATGAAATAATGTACTGAGAACTGATTTAATTTAAATGTGGTTTTTTGATTCTAGGTTCTGGGCATTGTCCAAAACATGAGTGTTTTCCAGTGTCCAAAATGTAAGCACAAGACTCCCATTTTTGGCAGTGATGGTGCAAGGAAACTAGCACGGACCCTTGATCTTGATGTTCTAGGTAAGACCATAGGATGCTATTTTGCTTATGAGTGGCAGAAGGGAAAGTGTGGGGATGAGGCATGGTAATGAAGAGAGTCTCAGAAAATGATGAATTGCTTTGATTTTGTGTTTTAAATTAAGTCAGTGTAATAGAGTCCTATGTATTAACCTTTCTTTGCCTTTTTAGAATACTTCCTTAGTGGAAGGCTGTTTAAATAAGGAGTTTTGCTCTGCCAACTATGATAATAACATCTTCTATAGATTATAACTGCCTATGACTTGAATTTGAGTTGTGTGATTTGAATACTGTGATATAAAGCCTATATTTTAAATAATGGTTATGAATTTGTTTGCTAATTTGGGGACACATCTCTTAGTATAAGCAAATATATGTGAAAATACCTGTTCAATATGTTGTAGCAGCCTCTGGAGGCATCAATTCTTGGCACATATGTAAAAATGCCTTCCTGGTCAATTCTGCATGTTTTCTGTAATCCTTGTATGTTTACCATGTCTATAAAATATGGCACCTGAAATTTACATTGTGTACACTGTTCACTGCAATGAATTGAAGGATTAATTATGAGGAGAACTCAAAGCAAATCATGTGTTAAATAAAGCACATATTTTGGGTAAAACATGATTTTCAAAAGTCCATGAGCAACTTAATTGACTTTTTAGAAAACATGTTTTTATATTCTTATTATGAATGAGTTTCTGTTGTGGGCAAAGACATGTTAGATATTGAATAAGGAAGGCATAGAGTGAATTATTAGTTTTTGGTAGTTAAAAATTAAGATCCCTTAGAAATTGAGGAATTTGAAAACATTCTCTATTATAATTAAATTTCTAAAAGTTGAAGTTAAATGTATTATTGTTATTATGCATTTGCACTATAGCAGACACTACAATACCAGGTGAATACTGATGATATATTTTGATATATTGCTGTAATTATAGGCACTAATTATATTCTGCAACTGTTTTTCATTTAACTAACCTAGAAGGTTCAATTTCCTAAATCTGCATAATAACATAACAGATTGACATTCACTTTTATAATAAAGTAAATGTGTAATTATAATGGCGTTACTGAATTATGTTGGCAATATTATAATTCCCTAAATTATAAATGGGTGGTACAATTTTGTAAGTCAGTTATTTAGAATTTGGAAATGTCACCTGGAGAAACAATCTCACATATGGAAGTTCCATCTTAACAGCTCACAAATATACACTTACCCTGAAAATGAATCAGAAAAACTGATTACTGATCATAGAAAGTGGACAGTGCTACAGACTGTTGTGTCTAACAGTATTTTGGGAAAAATAATTCAGAGTCCCAACTTAAGGACACAGCTCCTCCTTTTAATGCAGTCATGGAGTTCCAGAGAGGATTCCTATGAACTGAAGCAGGGATTCCAATAACAAAGAGATTGGAATTGGGATTGAGGAGCTGAAAATGGGGAAAGAGCTTGCATAGCCATGGCCTCCTGACTTGTTGAACCCCATAAGCACCCTTATTGATCTTCACTGACTCCCTTGGAAGCCTCTTGATCCATTGGGTTGTGGGTTTTTTTCCCCTCCCCCAACTTTTTATTGTGATTTGGGTGAGAGTTTACAGAGCAAATTCATTTTCCATTAGACAGTTCACACACATTTTGTTTCAAGATATTGATTGCAATCCCCACAGTGTAACAGCTTTCTTCCCACTTCTTCCTTTTGGTTACTTTTTCCCTGTGTCCTCCTTTCTTTTCCATTCCTGCCCTCTGAGCTTTCTCCCTGTGCAAATGCTGCCCTTCTGATCTCCCCTGGTTGGTTGTTCTAAGGAGTGCACCTCCCTGGTATAATTGTTGACTTCTTAGGCATATCTTTTATTTGGCTGAAGTTTAAGGTACGGGAGTAAGTTCAGTTCCAGGCCCAAAGCATAACTAGGGGTCATAGTCTTGCGGGTTTCATCAGTCTCTATTAGACCACTAAGCCTGGTCTTTTTTATGATTTTAAGTTTTGTTCCACATTTTTCTCTCACTCTGTTCATGTTCAGGATTTTCAATTTTGATCCCTTTCTGAGTGGTTGGCACCATCTAGTTCTGTTTTCAGGGTCATGTAGGCTAAGGTTCTGTGGTCCACTAGTCCATTGGGTTGTGTTTTAAATGATGTTTTTTGTAACATGGCACTTCAGAAACTATATTTATCTATGTTGTTGTTGTTGTTATGTGCCGTCAAGTCAAACCCAACTCATAGCGACCCCTCCTTGGGTTTCCAAGGCAGTATCACTTCAGAAGTAGGATTGCCCAACCTTCTTTCCGAGGAGTGGCTGGTGGGTTTGAACCGCCAGCCGTCTGGTTAGCAGGCAAGTGTCTTAGCCACTATGTTACCAGAGCTCCCATATTTATCTATAGGGACAATAATACGAAGAATAGGTAAGATCTCTGACAATCACAGAGAAAGCCTTTTAATCCATACATTTCTAAATTATACCCTCACTTCTTCAGATCGAGCCCTTCAAAGATAAATTTGCACTAAGACTGCTCCTCACTGATTTCCCACACATTTAGGCATTTTTATGCCTCTCCAGCCACAGTTAGTCTGTTTCGCCTCTTATTCTGCTACCTGTTGTTTTCTAGTAAGAGTTCTCTCCTTCCTGGTCTTTTCTTCTGTGCCTATAGGTAGGATAGTCACTAGTGACTAGAAATGAAGTCACTAGGTAGTGACTGAAGCTAGAGGCTTTTCTTCACTCCGGCAGCTGCTGGCTGCTGAGACTGACAAGCCCAAGGTTGACAAGTAAAAAGGCACATTCCTGATGTTACGAAACCATACAACAGGTCATTAATTCAAGTCCATTGAAAGTCCCAAGGTCAGCAGAGCATGGCAGGCTGCTCAAGAGCGACACGGCTCCATGCAGGGTTCAAGCTTGCCATAAACTAGAGACCATTCCCCAAGGCTTCTGCTTATATACAGGAAGCAGACCATCCCTAAGGTAACTGCTCAGCTGCTCACAGTAGATCCCACCATGGAGTTGATTGCCAGTCTCATCATGGGGAATAACTACCACCAGCTGCCCAGCCACTCAACTAGGCCCAGCCAAGGTGACATACTACCTTAACTACCACATGTGGCTATTGAATATTTAGGAAAGACTTAAAGCATTGATTAAAATTTCAAATCTTACTGGGTATCTGTTCCTCTATCATGTACTTCATAATATAAATTGTAAAAGAATTGTATTTTTGTAACATATGTAATTTGTGTATTATTTACATTGCCTGGTATGGTGCTGAATGATTATTTAAATAAACACCACCACCACCACCACCACCACCCCCACACCCCCACACACACACATTCCAGTAACCTTTGTGTGGATTTGGAGTGGTTCAGAATACTGAGTACCATGAGTAATAGTTAACTCTTCCACTTCCTTACTGAATTTCAGATATCAGCCTTTGGGCCTCATTTGTGATGATGTGTTAGGAAGACTGTATTGGATGCTGTATCCTAAATTCTAACACTTTATAGTAAAATGCCCCCAGGAGAGTCATACAACCTCTCTGACCTCAGTTTTCTTATCTTTATAGTGGAGATTCTTATCAAATACTTCCTGAGATCTCATCAAGCTCACAAGTTACAGATAGTGCTACATACATTAATAAATGTAAGAAAAAATAATTCTGATACAGAAGCAGGTAGTTGAGATAACAACCTGGCCTTTAGAACCTAAACATATTGGTAAGTGAGGAATGGGTGTATTTTTCCTCCTCATCTTTTGCTCTTCAATTTCATCTTATTATGTGGTTTGAGGTATCAATACCAGATATTAAAGGAGCTCTGGTGGCCTAGTGCCTAAGGCATTTGACTGCTAACCAGAAGGTTGGTGGTTCAAACCCCCCAGCCACTCCACAGAAGGAAGACTGGACAATCTACTTCCATAAAGATTTACCACCTTGGAACCCAAACAGGGTTGCTGTGAGTCAGAATTGACTTGACAGCAGTGAGTTTTATACCAGATATTATAGGAAGAAATGATTCAGAAATGTCTTCGAAGCCATTCATTGCTGGAATGGAATATTCTTTCCTCCAGCAAAGAATATATTAGAGGGCTTATCCCTTGAGTGGGGGCCACATAGTTTTCATAAGTTCCTGTGTAATCACTGTACTAATCTCAGCTGGAATATTTTGCCTGTAATTTTCATTTGAAATTTCTTTTTTCTGAGGTTTAGCAATTTAACGATAGTCAGAACTCAAGTTGATTTGAATTAGTTTCAAATTTTGCTTCATTCTGTAGTTCAAATAGTAAAATTCCAAATGCCTATGTGAACTTTTCTTATACTAATGGATATTTGGTTGGCTCTTTCAGGAGACATTCCTTTACACCTTAATATAAGGGAAGCTTCAGATACAGGCCAGCCAATTGTGTTTTCACAGCCTGAAAGTGATGAGGTAAGTTGTATTTCAAAATACATACTTTTATTTCTTTTTATAATTAGAGGATATATATTTTTGATGTACAGAAAAAAATTGGGAAGACCAAGCTTATCAATTTACAGTACATATATTTATAACAAGGGTTAGTTAACTTGTCCAAAGTAACTTTAAGTTTTCACTATCTTATAAAATACACATGCCAGTGCTGGCTATCAACTAGACAAGTTCATCTATGAAGAATCACCACCCTCCCAGTTTTCTCACTAATCACATGAACAATGAAAGTTTGTAAAATTCTTATCTTAGTGGCCAGCAATACTCTAACTGCCCAAGGTTATTATATTTCATTCTTAGAAGTTGAGCTGATTGTTGGGAGAAGGGAACGGAACCTAGTATAAGAAAGGATTGAGTTGGATATAGGGAAATTTTATAAACCATTAGAGATGAAATTTTCATTGCAGTTATTTTAGCAAATATGTTTGGTGAGGTACAATGGAAAGACAAGTAGTATTTTATTAGCAAACATCATTTGGGATATAATAAATAGATTTTCACAGTTTCTGAAGCTTTACAACTTTAAGTATAAAATACTGTATTTTAATCTTTTTATAAAATCAAAATAAAATCTATCCTATGTATACATACATACATATATATGTATGTATATATCTTCTTTCTTAAGTAGCACTTGTAAGTTAGAAACCAAGTCATTGTCTGGTACATCAGTTTTGTACCATTATGTGGTACATCTGCTCCCTTAAACTATCTTCTATAGTTTTTCTTAGCTAATAGGTGCAACTTTAGAGTAGTAGTATTTTATACAACGATAACTACTGCCTTTTCATTCTAGTTTTCTTCCTCTATCTTATATTCTGTGAACTGGCAAATAAAAGAGCCAAGCTTGGCTAGAGCTGTGAATAAAGTAAGAGTAAATTGACAGGAATCTTGTATAAGTAGAGTAATTGTGAGTTATCTTTACAGGGGCTCAGAAGTCCTTTCCCTTTCTTAAGAGTAGGCAGGTAGCGTACAGATGATTGAGTTGCTGGGAATATACTCTCTGAGAAAATACAATGAAACATTTATCATTGTTTTTCTTTTCTCTGCTTTTTAAGTATTAAATATCATTTTTTTATAAATCTTTTAGATAAGCAAAAGTCATAATCATTTCTGTTTTTCATAATTAAATTCTGGCAGTCCCGACTGCCATAGATGTGCTTTATGGAGTGGATGAAAGCTTGTATGAAAATTGAGGCATTTTTTAAAAATAATTATACAGTTTTAGATGCTGCCTGAAAACACACTATTTAAAAATATTCTTAAGTTATTCCTTATGAATAAGAATAACTACTAGTTTATTTCAATTATGAATTTAGACTTTTTTATACCTATATTGTTGGTTTATTCTTTGAGATTCTTGAAAACCAAGGAGCATTTCAAGGGAGTTAAAGGAGTGTAATAAAACAGAACATACAATCACAAGATGACAAATACTGTATGAACCCACTATTATAAAAAAAAGTCAGGGAAAGTTTTACATATAGAAAGAAACATTCTTTGATGGTAACCAGGGATGGGAGGGGAGGTTAAGAGAAATCACTGACTAGATAATAGACATGTATTAATTTGTGTGAAGGGAAAGGCAATATACAGTAAGGGGATGATCATCACAATATCACTAAGGCAAAGAAAGACCTGGAGTGGTGCACAAGAGTTACAGACAGCAAAGGAACATACTATTATATACATAATCATGCATTATCAGTAAAAACAAACAGTAATCTAAGAGTGGATACATAGGCAGATGGGCAAGTTGACCAGGTCTGGGTAGGGGAACAGGACTATACCTACATAGGTTTGGCAGAGGATATTTCTACATACTTATTTATATGTACTGTAAATATATCCATATATATAGTAGGTAATCAGGGAGAAAAGTTATGAATACTTCTTAGCCATAACCAAACATCTTGATGTAATAAATCATGGGGCTTGCAGGCTTAGGACCACAGTCTTGGGGTTCAGCTAACTCAATTGGCATAACATAGTTTACAAACACAATGCTCTACATCCTACTGTGGTGAGTAATAACTAGGATCTTAAAAGCTAGCAGATGGCCATCTAAGATGCAACTATTGGTCTCTCTCTGCCCAAAGCAGAATAAAGAAAATCAAAGCCATATGGAAACAAATAGTCCAGACATGCAAACCTCAGCCTCCTCCACCTGAGACCAGAACTAGGTAATGCCTGGCTACCACTACTGATTCTCTGAAAGGGATCACAGTAGAAGGTCCTAGATAGACTGGAAGAAAAATGTGGAACAAAACTCAAAATAATAAAAAAGACTAGTCTTACTGGTCAGAGAGACTGGTGAAGCCCTGATACTGTGGCTTCCTAGTTGCCTTTCAAGCCTGGAACTGAACTCACCCCAGTGACTCATCTGTCAGCAGAGCAATAGACAGACCTATCAGGTGAACAGTAACACTACATGGGTATACACTCCTTAGAACATTTGGTCATATGTGATCAAAAGAGCAGCTTTTGCCCAGGGATGAAGTTCAGAAGGCAGGAAGGGATAGGAAAGAAGGGCAAATGGAAGTAAGAAACACAGGGAGAAGTGGGAAGAGTGATGTTGCATGGTGGGGGTTGCAGTCAATGTCACGAAACAAAATGTGTAGAATAGTTGAGTGGAAAACTAATTATCTCTACAAACTTTTACTCAAATCACAGTAAAAAGTTTAAAAATAGCAATAAAATTAAAAAATAAAATGGAACATATAGTAATCACCTGAGGATAATATTTAAAACTCTAAACAATATTGTTTGTAGAATTTGGGGGGGTTACATGTTATAATCTATATTTACATAAATATTAGACCCATTGTTTGAACTCTTGTTGGGTATCATTTCTGAGTGTCTCGGGGTACTCTTAGGACCTTTGTGATCTGGGCTATATTTGATTTGGTGAGGTCTCTGCACAACTAGTAAGAAGTTCATATACCATACCATCAGTCTTGAATATGAAGACTTCTCATCAATTTTAAAATTTTAACATGGCTAAGAAAAGGAAAAGGCGGTGGTGCCATGCTTCCATAGAAGATATTACTTACTACTGTTAGATTGTAGGTACTCATGATAATTAATCCTTTTCCTAATAATAATAGCACTTACAGTGTGGGCATTGTTAGATATTTTATTTACATTATTTCTATTCTCAGAACAATATATGTACATAGTTCCCATTTTTTGCAGATGAAGAAACTGAGGATCATGGAAGTCAATTACTATGATAATAAATACTATGATTTATTAATTTTCCCAAGGTCACACACACACTCCCCACTGGCAGTGAGTCAATTCCAACTCATAGCCATAGAATTTCCAAGGCTGTAAATGTTCATGGAAGCAGGGTGTTTCATCTTTCTCCCATAGAGTGGCTAGTGGGTTCAAACTGCCAGCCTTTTGGTTAGCAGCCAGGTGCTTTAATCAGTATGCCACCAGAGCCCCTTGTCCTATATTAATAGCTATTATTTCTTCAATTCCTTCTAAAAGGTAGGTAGTACTTAGATGTGTTAAATACATTATCTTTTTTGATTCTCCTAACACCTTTGTGGGTGGTTCAAACCCACCAGCCACTCCTTGGAAGGAAGATGGGGCAATCTACTTCCATAGTGATACTGCCTCGGAAACACAAGGAGGGGTCACTATGAGTTGGGTCCGACTTGACGGCATGTAACAACAACAACAACACCTCGGTGAGATAGATATGCCTCAGGTACTATGCCACCAGAGTTCCTGTGAGGTAGATATAATAATCTCCTTTTTTTTCAGAACAAGAAGCAAAGGTTCATGTACATTAAGGAACTTGCCCAAGATAGTACTAGAGGTCAGATCCACAGCCACCTCCAACACCACAACCCATGCAGTCTCTTCCCAATTCAGTATTCCTGATTAATTGCAAAATTAGTTCAACATCTGTGTATTATGCATATAGACTAGCTTTCACTTCAACTCCTTTCCATAGTATCACAGAGAACTAGAGAAGAGTGGGAGCCAACTCTACCCCTCAGGTGCTGTTGGCATGCACAGCAGCAGGGCATGAGCCACAAGATTTTAACTTGGACCTGAGAATCCCTTAAAATTATATCCAAAATGCTTGAGTGTGCGTTTTTCTGGGGAATTGGATAAGAGCTTATTAAATTCTCAAAGGGGTCTTTAACACCTCAAGAGTGATAAGAATCACTGCATAAGAAAAGTACTGAATCAGAGTCAGCTTGAGGTTTCATTACCAAGTCTACCACTTTCTAAGTGTGATCTTTAGGTAAGTACCCTAACCTCTCCAAACCTTTCTCTCCATCTGTAAATTAATATAATAAGGAGGATTAAACAAAGTAAAAATGCTTTAAGAAATGTCAAATAAGACAAATAAGAGTATTTAATGTTTTCTGAAACTTTCTATATAAGATATTCCAAAAACACAACCAAACTCACTGCCATCAAGTCAATTCGACTCATTGGGTTTCCAAGGTGGTATCTCTATGGAAGTAGATTGCCCAGTCTTCCTTCTGAGGAGTGGCTGGTAGGCTTGAACCTCCAGCCTTTCGGTTAGCAGTCAAATGCCTTAGGCACTGTGCCACCAGAGCTCCCCCTTTTATACAGCATCAAATAAATATCACTCTTTGGTGGCATTTAAAATTCAGAGTAGCAGAATTTTAATCATGAAAGAGGAGTAGAGTTTCCAGCTTCAGTGTTAAAGATATTAACTCTTAGAAATCAGGAAGCTATGGTTGAGTCCTGGAATCCAGTTCCTTTTGGCTAGTCTCATGATGAATTTTTCAATCTATATGCTGAGCAAATAATCCGAGAAGCTGGACTATATGAAGAAAAACGTGGTATCAGGATTGGAGGAAGAATCATTAACAACCTG